AATCATCACTGAAGCATTAAAAGCTGCCCAAGAAAACACTTGTAAGCAGTATATCAAAGAAAATATTTAACAGAAAATGAGACATCCTTCCCATGTTTAACTCTCATCTTGACATACATCTGTCCATGTTCAAATGACTGCAAGCATCAATACAACTTTGAGAGAATGAATATTAGAAGTAATGAAGGCGAAGTACCCAAAGGATCATGCCCCTTTTATAGGCCAAGAATGCTCATACAGTGTCTCTCTCCTTTTGAAAATCTGGATAAACAGGTAAATGCAATTTTGCTTATAAAACATTTCTGGCCTGACATGAATCAGAAAGTGATGCCCTAAACATGTACCAGAGCTTCCTAAGCAGGATCAGGGCTAACTCCCTTCACTCACATGGAAGTATGGACTTGTCTGTGAAATTAGGATGCTTGCAAATATGAGTTAGGCTTGTGGGAATTCCTAGCATTATAGTGTATAATTTTAATCCCTTTAAAAAACCTTCACATTATATCTTCATCTATTAGACACATGCCACACCTCATCCATTTTCAAATTGGATTACAAATATATAAATCAATCCAAAGAATTATATCCCAAACAGGAAGATCTGAACTTTTTATTTTACTTTTATGGATTTTGTCACACTGGGATTCCTGGTTTGCAGTTGGCTAGGAGGAAATAATACAATTTCTCTCAATTGCGTTTATTTGCAACGCACTCTTAGAAAAATAGCCAACCTGAAATAAACCAGGGAGAAGGGAGAAGGGAGAAGGGAGAGGGAGAGGGAGAGGGAGAGGGAGAGGGAGAGGGAGAGGGAGAGGGAGAGGGAGAGGGAGAGGGAGAGGGAGAGGGAGAGGGGTCTAAGCTAACACCATCCAACTGACATAATGCAGCACAATAAGAATTTGTAGCTATCATGTAAATTGAATCATTCAAAGGATTTTAATTGTTCTTTAGAATACAATAAACATTTGAAAGCAAATGTGCAGCTTTATGCAGCATGTCTCATTGGAGTAATTCAGACCATTCATAAGAGAAGATCTCAAGATTTACCACCTACACCATTTTTTTCAGTATGTTACTCATGGAGCAACAACAGCAGAGGGTGGTCCATTCATAAAAATGAACATATTTATACATATGGAGCAGTAGTGGCACAGCCCCCTTTTTATTTTTGATGGCTGAAAAAATGTTTTGATTAACATCCCTGTGAAAGAACATACTGAACAAAATGTTCCATTTACTTTTAGTTATATAAATGATAAGCTAAGGAACAAGGTATTTTTAGATGGTTAGGTGTACTTTTTATTTTTGTTTAATTGGAAATTAAAGAAAAAAAAAAAACAATTTTGAGAAATTATGATCCAGCTAGGAGTAACAACATGAAAAAAGAAAAGGCAATTGAACTTAGACTTAAGGATGGTGGACTCAGGGAACACAATCATTCTCTGGTGTATCAAAACAACTATTTTCCTTTGGCGAGTCTGCTTTAAGAGAGGGATCAGCATGAAAACACTCTTGTTTTATTGTGTTCCTTGACAAAGAAAAGCTAAATCCTGTAAGGTGCTTGTCTTTGTTTCTTATGCACATAGAATCACAGAATCATTTAGGTCAGAAAAGACTTCCAAAATCAAGTCCAACCATTAACCAAGCACTGCCAAGTCTGCCACTAAATCATGTCCCTAAGCACCACATCTACATGTCTTTTGATTATCTCTTGGACTAGTGACTCAAATACTTCTCTGGGTGGCCCATTCCAAAGCATCACAACCCTTACAGTGAAGATTTTTTTTCCTAATATCCAACCTAAGGCTCCCCCAGTGTAACTTGAAGCTATTTGCTCTTGTCCTATCACTTGTTGCTTGGAAGAAGAGACCAATCCCCACCCTGCTACAATGTCCTTTGAGGTAAAGAGTGACAAGGTCTCCCTTAAGCCTCCTTTTCTCTGGGTTAACCAACCCCAGATCCGTCAATTGCTCCTCATAAGACTTGTTCGACTTGTTCTCTAGAACTTTCACCAGCTTTGTTGCCATTCTTTGGACACGCTCTAGTACTGCAATTCCCTTCTTGTAGTGAGAAGCCCAAAACTGAACACAGTATTCAATATGCATCATCACCAGTGCCGCATACATGGAAACAATCAATCACTTCTCTAGTCTTGCTGGCCACACTATTGCTGATACAAGTCAGGATGATGTTGGCCTTCTTGGACACCTGAGCACATTGATAGCTCATATTCAACTAGATATCAACCAATACCCCCAGGTTCCTTTCTTCTGGGTAAATTTCCAGCCACTCTTTTCCCAGCCTGTAGCACTGTATGGGGTTATTGTGCCCCAAGTGCATGACCTGGCACTTAGCCTAGGTGAAACTCATATAGTTGGCCTCAGTCCATTGGTCCAGCCTCTCCAGATCCCTCTGTAGAGCCTTCCTACTCTCAGCATATCAACACTCAGGCCTAACTTGGTATCGTCTGTAAACTTACTGGGGGTGCACTTAACCTCCACATCCAGATCATTGATAAAGATACTGATGAGAATTAGCCCTAAAACTGAGCTTTGAAGGACACTACTGGTGACCAGCCTCCAAACGGATTTAAATCTATTTAAATCCAATTTCTTTGGGCTGAGCCACACAGTCATTTTTTTTTTCCAGTACAGCAAACATCCATCCAAGCCATGAGCAGCCAGTTTCTCTAGAAGAATGATGTGGGAAACAGTGTCAAAAGCTTTAGAAAACACTAGGAAGACAACATCTACAACCTTTTCCTCATCCACTATGCACATCACCTTCTCGTAGAAGAACAGGTTAATCAGGTAGGACCTGCCTTTCATAAACCCATGCTGACTGAGCCTGATCACCTCGTTGTCCTATATGTGCCAAATGACCTTCTCTAGCACCAAAGTCAGACTGACAGGCCTGGGGATCCCCAGGTCCTCTTTTCAGCCACTGCTCTGGTCCGTAACTTCTCATTATAGACAAAAGGTCAATTATTTTTTTCAACTTTATTTCCATTTGGTTCCTCCTAAAAAGAAAGACCTGTTTTTGGTGACTGAGGGTTGATATAGGAGTGAAATGTTCATGCATTCTCTCCCCAGACGATTAGTATTTAAGGACTGAAAGAAATAACAGTATTTAAGAAGAAATGACACATTTTCAGTAGGCCTTAGGTGTGAATATTAAGCTCATCTTCCCCCAAAAAAAGTCAATTTGACCACTTGAACAGAGATCTTGGAAGTAATATATCTAAAACTTGGTCTGTTCTCCCATGTGCCGAGTGACAGGATGAGGGGAAATGGGCTAAAGTTGTGCCAGGGGTGTTTTAGGTTGGATATTAGGAAGAACTTCTTTACTGAAAGGGTTGTTAGGCATTGGAATAGACTGCCCAGGAAAGTGGTTGAGTCACCATCCCTGGAGGTCTTTAAAAGACGTTTAGATTTTGAACTGCATGAAGTTTAACAAGGCCAAGTGCCGGGTCCTCCACCTGGGATGCAATAACCCCAAGCAGAGCTACAGGCTGGGAGATGAGTGGTTGGACAGCTGCCAGGCAGAGAAGGACCTGGGAGTGATGGTGGATAGTTGGCTGAATATGAGCCAGCAGTGTGCTCAGGTGGCCAAGGCCAACAGCATCCTGGATTGCATAAGAAACAGTGTGACCAGCAAGGCTAGGGAGGTGATCATCCCCCTGTACTCAGCTCTGGTGAGGCCGCACCTCGAGTACTGTGTTCAGTTTTGGGCCCCTCGCTACAAGAAGGACATCGAGGTGCTCAAGCGGGTCCAGAGAAGGGCGACAAAGCTGGTGAGGGGCCTGGAGAGCAAGTCCTATGAGGAGCGTCTGAGGGAGCTGGGCTTGTTCAGCCTGGAGAAAAGGAGGCTCAGGGGGGACCTTATCGCTCTCTACAGATACCTTAAAGGAGGCTGTAGTGAGGTGGGGGTTGGTCTATTCTCCCACATGCCTGGTGACAGGACGAGGGGGAATGGGCTGAAGTTGAGCCAGGGGAGTTTTAGGTTGGATCTTAGGAAGAACTTCTTTACTGAAAGGGTTGTTAGACATTGGAACAGGCTGCCCAGGGAGGTGGTGGAGTCACCATCCCTGGAAGTCTTTAAAAGATGTTTAGATGTTGAACTTAGGGATATGGTTTAGTGGGGACTGTTAGCATTAGGTCAGAGGTTGGACTCTATGATCTTGAGGTCTCTTCCAACCTAGAAACTCTTCCGTGATTATGTGAATTTAGCGATATGGTTTAGTGGAGGACTTGTTAATGTTAGGTCAGAGGTTGGACTCGATGATCTTGAGGTCTCTTCCAACCTAAACAATTCTGTGATTAAAAGGTGTAAAGGTTGAGTGACTGAACAAGGAAATCATTTAAAAAGAGATTGGACTGTGCACTTAGTCACATGGTCTAAACATTTGGGCAGACCTGTGCGGTGCCAGGATTTGGACTTGATGATCCTTATGGGTCCCTTCCAACTTGGGATATTCTATGATTCTATGATTCTAGTATCAAATGAATATGGAATATTGACCTTTAAAAAGTTTATTGCTGGGGTCCCCATGCTATCATTCAAGCATATCTATCTATAACTGTGAAGATATTTCAAGGTATCAGTATTATTTGGAGCAGGGAATTCTATTTATTTAAGATTACCTGTTCCTAATTGTCAGAGGCATTATCCTCTGTAAATAAATCATCAGAGCCATTTTGTATTAAACTCTATTGCTTTCTGACTTGAAACTTTTAAATAAATCCAAAAGCTAGAACCTTACTACAGTGCATCAAACAATTTTCTTTTCAAATTGACAAGTTCTGTAGAAATCAGTGTCTCATTTTTATGTGTACTGTTAATATTCCAAAATCCAAAAGTTTAAATACCCAGAAAAATCACTCAGGAATTTTGTTGCTTTTTACATCAGAATAAATATTCTGCTCTTTCAATCCATTGTATAACCAGAAAAGAAAATATCAGGAATGAAGCCTGGCAAGATGGTACTATTTGTCCTCATTTCTCTCTTTTTAATGACTTTAGTGAAAAACAAGAATGACAACACAGAAGAAAGAACTCTTTAACTTTATTTACTAAATAGGCATAACAGTATAACTTCAAAAGTGTCTTTGAAAAGGCTAACATAGTGTTTGCCAAGACGATTCAGATATAGATTCTGACCTTACTTTTGCCAAAGTAGCCAGATGTAAATCCAGCATCTTCACTGGAGAGTAAATGATATCAGAATGTGTCCCTCTGCATCAGTCATCTGTCATTGACACACAAGCCAGCTATAGGGATTTCATAGTAGCCTCTCTTGAGGCTACTCTCTCATTTTCAAGAAACACAGTTCCAATAAAATCTGCTTTTTCTGTACCTGAAAATAAATAAATAAATAAATAAATAAATAAATAAATTTCCTTCTGAGGTGAAAAATATTAGGCGCACCTAAGTTGTCTCACCAGGAGGTTAAATCAAATCTCTTGTGGATGAAAGGAGAAGTCAGAATGTAATCTATAGAGGTAATGGGAGAAGGCCCCGGGAATTAGTCTTGGAGAAGGAGAAGGGGGAGATGAAGATGAGGACAAGACCCCAGAGCTGGAAGCGGTAGAGGAAATTTCTGTAAAGCTATTGAAGAGACCATACAAATGGCCAAGAAAAACAAAGACACATCGAGATAGGGTATTAAGAAGTACTTATTGGAAGGAGAATATATCCTGGTATTACGACAGGACCACATGGTTCCCTTTAGGGTTTGAAGTCATTGAAAGGGGCAGTATCTTTCCTTTTATGACATAATTTATAAGTCACATCACCACAGCAAATTGCGATTGCATGGTGAATTATGTGTCCATGTCGAGGTGTTGGCAGGGGAGTTGCAGGGACTCTGTGGGCAGAGGCTGGGTCCCTGCTAGACTCAGACAGTTCCAGCTGGCTCCAATGGCCCCACGGCAGAGCCCAGCTGAGCCTAGCACTGAGCTGGCAGCGCCTTGGGGAAAACAGATTTCTGAAAGGGCAGAGCGGGCACAGACTGAGGAGGAGGCCCAGGACGAGTGAGAAGCAGCAGAGGGCCCAAGCCCCAGGAGGAGGAGGGCAGGAGGGGCTCCAGGCCCACAGGCAGCAGGGATTCCCCAGCAGCCCTGCAGAGCCCCCGCTGGAGCAGATCTCCACCCTGCAGCCCGGGGAGGGCCCACGCCGCAGCAGGGGGACATTTTCTGAGGGAGCTGCGGCCGTGGGGAGCCCCCGCAGGAGCAGGGTGTTCCTGAAGGGCTGCAGCCCGGGGCAGGGCCCCTGCTAGAGCAGGGCCACGGGTAAAGAGGAAGGAGCTGCCAAGAGGACTGACTGCAACACCCATCCTAACTTTACTAGATTTTCTGTGTTTCTTTCTAATTTGTATCTATTTATGTGAGGGAAAATGAGATAATTTAATATGTGGAGTCTTATTCATAGATGCTTTGCAATACTGCTGTTTTGCAGCTGACATGGATGCATACTTTAGTAAGAAGGACAGTTCACTTTCATGAAAGCATTTAGTCATATTCCATAATCCTAAATAAGCCTAGAATCATGGTCACACTCATACAACATTGAGATTAGACAAAAGATATGAGACCTGATTCTGTACCAAGTTACTCTGCTTTAGGTCCGGTAGGTGCGTTCTAATTAACATTTGTCTCAGTGAAAGGAAAATGAAGTCCATATTTATACATCTACCTAGATTAGTTTGGATTTGCTTAGATTAGGTGAAATTGTCCTATGCATATGTAAAAGCGATGAGGTGAGGGCTGTAGGAGTGTGAACATATTACTGGTAATAAATCCTCTTCAATACTTAAAAAATTAAATTCTCATCAGTTGGTACATAATAGTTCCATTGTCATTGACTTAAAAATAAAATGACCTGATAGGAAGGAGACACTTTCACTATTGCCATTACCTGCTATTGAAAAATGTGAATTACTTTCAGGCAGTAGAGGATTCCACTTGCAATTAAATTAGCAGTAGTGGACATTTCACCCACATCCAGGGAGATCACTGAAGAGGGGAAAAAGACAGATTCTAATTTATCACAAGCTGCTGGTTCCTTGTGAAAGAGACAGGTTTAAACTATTCTTGTCCATTTTCTGAAACCCACAGGAGCTTGAAAATTATCTGATCATCTAACTGAATGATTTATAACTCCCTTTTGGCCCCACACAAGGATTTGCCCCCAACAATTAATCTTCCTGGATATAATTGGAGTTAAAATTAAAGCTACATTGCTCCTCAATTCATTGGGATGAACTTGGCATGGTCTTTTGTAACAGTTTCAGGTAGCATACCCATTAAAAATAGGACATGATGCCATGTTTGGCTGGCCAAAAATGAAAATGAGGGAGGGAAAATTAACACAAATAACATCCTTTTATCAAGACATCAATACCTTCCAGCTGCTCAGTTCTATAGTAGCAAATTGCCATAGTAGCAATTACCTGATATTGGTAAAATAAAGGTATTCTTAAGCCCCAGTGGTATAAAGCACAGTGCAATGCAATGCAATGCAATGCAATACAAATAAATAAATAAATAAATATAAGAAATCCTCCTCCCAGTTCAGAATGAAGAATTGGTAAATAGAGCTAGACATGTTCACAGGCCACAGGAGACTCTTCTGGGTGCAGGAAAATAAATAAATAAATAAATAAAATTTTAGCCAATGGAACGACTGCATAATTTTCAGAGAATAAGCATAAAGGGTAACTTTTCATAAAAGCCGTTAGACACCTTTGCAAATAAGGTTATCCAGCAAAAAAAAGTGCAAGCCCATGTAGTAAGGTTAACATTACAGCTTCTTTGAAATGGAGACTGCTTTCCTTCCCACAGCAGTGTCCTGTGGGGAATCTCACCCTGAAGTTTCATTGATAATTTTTTCTGCTTGGCTTCTTTTTCTTTTTCTTTTTTTTTTTTTTTCATTTTTTCATTTTTTTTATTTCCTGTGGTGTTTTTTCAGTCAAGATGAGTAATCAAGACAGTGTAAACAGAATCCTTTTGCTGAAACTTAGGAATTCAATGCCATTTGAGAATGAAACGTCCTTCCTGACTCACAACTGTGACTCCAGTGGGACATGGGTATTGTATAAATCTCTTTGTCACATGGACTAGTCTCAGGTAGATGTTTTGGACAGTCTGGTGTGAGATGAGATTGAGGTCACACCGTTCACACTTCAGCCGTAGTAGTCAAAAAAATTTTCAAGAGAATACTGCTCAGCAGAGGAAACCCTTTAATTGACACCATAGAATAATGTTACTTTCCAGATATACAAGGGTGCTAGCATTTATACTAAAACCTTATTTGCCTCATTTTACTTGCTAGTGGTAGAATTTCTCAGCATTCAATGGGAGAAATTCTTTAACATCAATGAATTACTGAGATAGACAAGAAGTCTGGAATCATAGAATCTTAGACTGATTTGGGTTGGAAGGAACTTTAAAGATCATCTAGTTCCAACTCACCTTCCATGAACAGGGAGGATTTTCCTCTTTTGTGCACTTTCAGGGCAGAATACCATCCAGGAGGAACAGACTGTTAAATGGACCTGCTGTTGACATTCCATCTCCTGCTTCATGCCAAGACAACACAAACTCCTGCTGTGTAGTTTGACCTACATCCCAGTGCTCAAGAAGAGAAACTCCAGGTGTGAAGACTACACCTGGAGAGATAGAGGATTTAAATTTTACAATAAAATTTCACATCAACTTTGGTCAGTCTTGATGCAATCTAATTATCAGTGAGCACCATATTTTCTAGAAGCATGAGTATTACAGGCCAATAATAATGGGAGTAAGACCCCATTTTAGAAAATAAATAAGGACAATATTAATCTCTTTGAGATTGGGGCTCATGACCCCGCTTTATGAAGAGAAAAGCAGCTATACCCTTATGAATATCTTCTTACTAGTAACCTGTCTTTGAACAGCATTTTTGTCTCAAAGAAACAGTCACCATTAAGAACAGCTCTCCTTCTATGCTCTCCATCATAAAAGACATTGAAAACTACACAAGGATAAGGTTATCATTTTACTCAAAGAAGTATGTTGCTGCCAGTGAGCTAAGAGCAACAGCAGTGAAAGCTTTTGCAGTTTTCCGCTGTGTATTACTATATGAGCATTATCAATAAATAGGATAGTCTGTAACATTGTCAGTAGGACATTCATAAAACAGTCACAAACATGAAAATATTTTCTTGCATCACAGACCTCAGACCAAGCTCCCTCTCCACTGATTCAAGTGCTGTACATGTCCACAATAAAGAGCCCCTTAACAGTTTTGCAACCCATCTATATAAAATATACCATCTTTTAAGAGTGGAAAATTATAAGAAAACAAATTTTAAGATTCAATCATGCACAATAGATTTCTACAAACCATATTCAGACCAGTATATGAGTTATTTAAGGCAGACTTAGTGAAGAAGCTCCTTCCTCTCCTAAAGGTTGTATTTGGTCCCTTAAAGAGCTTTCCAGTTCCCTCTGTCAAACTTCCTGCTTGTTGTCTCCTAGAAAGATAAGTGAAGCAGGCTGTTCTATCTGAAAGTCAGTTTTCTGGAGAGAGCAGTACTAGAAATGTCCATCAGAGGTCACAAGATAATATTTGCCCCTGCAACACTCTTCAAGAAATGTGATCCTTCTCAAATACTGAATAGATTTCAAATTGGAAAAGGTAAATTAAGGTAAATAAGATGCACCTTTGATGAGAAGAGGAAATGAACTGAGGAAGAATCTACCTAAGTGCATTGTGATTTGGGTGTTGTTTTTTTTTTTCCCCCTTTTACTGATCTAACAATGAAGGATTACAGTAAAGCTTTACCAAATAATGAAGACGTATGACATAAGGGAATGAAAACTGCTCAAATTGTCAACGCATTTTGTTTTTCTGCTCAGTATAAATCTTTTCTTTGCAGATGCAGATGTTATTCATTATATTGTAGATAAATTCAGAAATGTAGTTTCCACTGATTTAGCATTGTACTTAATTGGTTTTAAATCTAATGCACTGCAATAAGCCTTAAGTGCTACTTTGCTGTGAAATTTAAAAGTGAGCCATACTGTAACTTTGCCTTGGTAGGATTTCTTTGTAAGGAAATATGCTGCATTTCTACAGCCTCTCACTGGGAATATAAAAAAAAAAAAAAATGTAGCTTTCTTAAATGACTTCAGTTTCTAAAAGCTCATATTTGAGGATGGCATTATATGTGGGGTTAAGGTCTCTGAGACAGCTACAATAGCAAATCTGGAATCATGACATTGAGCATTTAGCTCCTAATAATGCAAAAAATGCATCAGACTATCAGCAAGTGACAGCTGGTGCTCTGGAGCAATGGATGTCTTAGAAGCACAAAGGAAAGCAACACAAAATACCACAGACATTCTGCAGATCCAAACAGCCCGTATCTTCTGCTGCCTAGACTTGGATTGAAAACACAGGACTACTTTTGTCCTCAATAATATATAGTTTCTCATTAAGAGCCAGGATATTTTGCCTATTTGCATTTTTGTGATATCATCCTTTCTGACTCCCACTCACAAAATACATTTTTGATATGCATGAATTCTCAAAGGTAATGAGTTGTAATTACTATTTTTCAAACAGTAATTGTCTTGAAGATGAGCTACCAAGCACATTAATATGGCAGTCCAACTACTAGTAGGCATCTATTAATCCATGATATTTTACATTTTTCCTTTCTTTTCATTGAGTTCCTAAATGACTCCCTGTGCAGAATCTACCTCCTAAAGAAAGGTTAGAACATTCGTTTTCCTTTATAAAAATTGTTTAAGCAAATATATTGGCTCTTCAGATGTTGAAATCTCCCTCTTCAAAAACTTTAGCCAAACTCAGATAAAACCCAAACATCTTCATTTTTCTCTTTTTAAGGTAAAATATTTAATATATTAAAAAAAAAAGTAGTAATAAAAATATACTTGATTATGATGTTCTAAATAACTTTTGACTGGTAACCTTCAAGTGTTTTATTTCTCTTAAATTGAGGTATCAGATCTTTGTAATCTTTATATATGACCTTCTATTCCATTACTCAGTAATTCTTTGTAAGTTATAAAACACCGCAAAATAAGATTAGGGGATGAAGAGGGAAATAAAAACTCATTCATTTATAACATTAAAGAAAATATCAAGTCAGGTAACATCCTCTCTGTGAAGAAGTGTATAGGAATTTTACTCAGGACTTAAAATAAGAAAAACACAGGGCAGAAATTGAATTTGGCTGTCGTTTGTGGCATTAGAGAGCTGTCCAACCATAGCAATGCCAGTTCTACATGCAGCCTAAAAATAAATGTTCATGGAAGTACTTACATTGAAAAAAAAACCCTGCCATTACTGTAGGAAACATACTGGATGGCTTGAAGTCAGACTAGATGAGGACACTTTTATCTCATGCACTAATTTAGATACCAGAAGTGCTCCAGTTATTCAGAGCTTGCTGCCCAAATTCAGACAACTTTGCAGCTGTGCTTGCAACACTCAGTTATGGGCAGAAGCTGCTTTTCAATTCAAAGCGAATCAGGAATCTCCATGAGTGAATTGGTTTCTCAAAACAGAGGACTTTTTTTCTTTCCTCTTCTCTTTTTTCCTGAGATTACTAGGTTACAATCTTAGTTGTAACATGTAACTGCTAATTTTAATATTCCCATCTCATTGTTTTTTTTTTTGTTATGGTGTTTTCTGTTGTTTTTTTTGTCCATTTAGGGAAATGTCATGACACAGTTCAGGAGATGGAGAACAATCTGAAAATAGCTTTTAGTAATAGTGACACAATGAAAGAGTGGAATGATTACCATTTTAAAATGTTGTGGACGTCTTACTATCCTTATTTATATGAAATCTTTACAGGGAGTGAAGGATAACCTGCGACTTGCAAGAGAAACTTAATTGCTAATCTTCATAAGGTTTTCTGGCACTTTACAAAATTTCAGGGAAAAAAAAAAAAAAAAAAAAAAAAAAAAAAAGTCAAGAAAGCCTCCCAGCAACAGTATTTGCTTTAAGTAATTGCAACTCTGCAAATGAACCAGCTTTTCTCAGTTTAATTTTTCTTAGCAGCAAATAACAATATCAAAATAGTCCCAGGCACAAACTATACGCATCCCAGTCTTCTACCTCATCCTTAAATATGGTCTCATCTGCCTGCTTGTCTCCATTTTCACCAGTCTGTATCACTATATTACACTGTTTGTCTCTGCCTCCCTCAGTTTCCAGCATCTCTCCTACCTGTAACTATCATATAACAGAAAATGTCTTGTTCAGTAGCAGCAGAATTCCTCACATTCACTTATCATGTGAAGCAATTTTTCAAGAACAGGGAAAACACATAAGCTTACAGGTTTCATTTCATGACTGTGAGTTAATAAATGACACATAATTAAGAGAGATCAACAGTTAACCTTTGTTAGACAGCCTTTTGAACACTGGTTATTGATCATCTGTGTTATAAATTGGTATACATTGATTAATGGCAAATATTAAGGATGCACTCTGTGATTACTAAAAATTATTTTCTTGAGATCATTGTAGGACTTCTATAAACCCACATTTTTGACATAATAACCCACAAAAAATGTATCAAAATGTTTAGCTATTTTGCAAAAGGGTCATTTTTATCCTTCTCTAAAAATCTCTAGTGTCCTTGAATTTGATGGGGGATTTCTAATAATACTTTGCTTAATAATCATAGGGGAATATTCACATTAGCAATTTATTGATACAAGATTAAATACTTTAGGTAAAGGCCCAAACCAGCCTCTGTACCATTTTTATCCATGGGCTGTGTCCATGACACATTCCATGTCTATGTAACATATCTCTTTACCTTTGTACAGTTTGCTCTGTGCCATTTTTAAGTCAACTGGGAAATATCTGAAAGAATAGATAGTTTGCCCTTGATCTACCTTCAGGACCATCTCATAAAAATCATGGTGTATATTTAGCCTGATATTCTCGTTCCCCACCAAAATATGTGGGTAGTACCTCCTGGGCATCATATATCAGAGATATATTAACTTATTAAGACTAATTAGGGTACTTCACACCTCTGTGAGCTACAATTTTATTTGTCACTTTAGCAGATGTTGCTGCATTTTTTATATTCAGCACAATAAATAAAAAAAAAAAAATAATAAAAAAAACACACTATTTTTTAATTAAAGCTAATACTTAGGACAACATTATTAAATTGTGATAGGAGCTGGAATGGTGTTTGAATTTGATTATAAGCTCTTTTTTTTTTTTTTTTTTTTTCTAATAGCAGATGAGGCCTGTAAAACTAGTCAGCCACAGAACTGTAGGGCCCACTTCGGGAAATAAAAACCTGAGCATGCGTTAAATTTTAGGGTATTCTTCAGGTTTCCGTCTCCCTCAACACATCTAGTTCACTCTAAAATTAGTCTGAAATGCACTCCTATGAGAAGCCGGTGTGTGTGTTGAGATAAATATACCCTCAAGCCCATCAAAACGTCTCATAAAATGGCTTGGACATAACCCATGTTTTGGAGACCCATTACTGCAAACAAAGAATAAATAATCAAAACAAATTGTCCAGATCTATCAATCATTATACCTCAAATATAGATTAGTCTAAGAGTTAAGCATCAAAACGTCTTTTTATCTAAGGAAGCTGGAAATTCCAGCTTTCCAGAT